AACTGATATAAATACTTGTACACATTTTTTTAAATACATACGTAATATCCTAAATTATACATATATAATAAGAAATCAAACCCGCGACTATCTGAAGTAACCTCTTTACTTTGTGCTAAAGCGCTAGACTACCGAGCCTAAGTATGTAGAATTAGATACCGTCTTCTTTCTTTCACTTTTCTCTTATTCCATATTAGTAGTAACTTCTATATTGACCCTGAATTTATATTAAAAAAATTGCAAAAATCTTCACGAGTTTACAATTTATTAAAAGAAAATAAATAATGGCTATGTTTTGCAGCAAATGGCAAAATTTACAATTGATTATCGTTTATCACATCATTGGTTACAGAATATATATAGTGCTTATGCTGTAAAACAATTGCATTGTTTTGATTTGGTAATAAAATAACAAGTGAATTGGAATTGCGTTTGAAGTCTAAACAGATGACAATCATGCGGCCAATGTTCACCTACTAAACAAACAAATGCGTATGTATTTGAATTTAAATGAATAGATAACTTCCTGGCGACATCATAGTGTTCAATCAACCGCGAAAATGGTGTGTGACTGATAAGGGTCAGGGCAGGGCCAATCACCACGCACTGATTCCTAATCGTTGACTCACTTGAACTATTCCTGAAAGGATTATTGAACCTGTGAACTGAGCAGTGAACGACTGATTATACACAATAGAAAGCAGAGTAATCTACTTGAACGTTCAAACTTGGAGGTAAAATGTCTTAAACAAATTCTAAGTTATTACTTTGAATAGAATGAGAAAAAACCTTCTGGTCTTTGAAATCCAATATTTCAAGTTATGTTGAACGAGAAATAATTCGTCTGACAAATTGAATTGGATATTACACCATGACAACTTTTGACATAATCGTATATATAACTCCTAGTGAAGAACCCACTTGTCTCGAGTCTCGAGGTAAATAAATTCTATCTCAATATGTAAGTGACATTTAAATTATTGCCTCTACATAATTAAATTATTTAGATTTATTAGATACGGACGTAATTTCTCTTATTACTAATTGATTGTCAGTCAGCAATTTATACTTAGCTGCGCTTTGGTGGTAGCAGACTGAAACGAATTAATCAAATTTAAATATAAATAATCTTGTAATCTCCTACATTGCGAAATGATCGAGACTCCACAGTATATTACGTATACTTTTTTAAGTGTTTGCAATTTATATAGATAGATTTATTTGTGTAACTAAAGTTTTTCACGTCAAAAACTCAAAACATTATTATTAAACCGTTACAGATATGCGGGATCACTCATCTCGTAGTGGAGTATGATTAAATATAGATGAATAGTGTCAGATATAATTTGCAATGCGTACTGTTTACAAAATGTTCAAATAAATAAAGCCCACACAGCCATTTCAATGTTATATAGGTATATAAATAGTATAGTACAGATACTCACTTTAAAACATAATACAATATTAAAGCGACAGGATACCGCAGAGCGTCACTTGTTCTGTCTTGACAAATCTCTTTTGCTTCACATTCATCAATCTTCGGTTACCGTCTACAGTTACTAACAACGATAATCCAAATTCTCGAGAAATAAACACGTTTCCGACACTTGCAAACACACATTTTCCAGATAAGTCGTCGTACTATATATATGTATAAATATATATTTTATCCCTAATGGTTACTTTAGATAGAGACGTGTTTAAATGAACAAGTGGGCCTCAAGGAAAATAGCTTCATCGATTGCGGAAAAGAAATACGTTAACAAAACATTCCCACACTGAATGGGTTAGGGCAAATAATCAGTACAAAGAGGTTGGCAGTATTTCGGTAAACCACCAGGTAATTGTTGGGGCAAGGCGTCGTAGATAAAAGGCTTTTCATGTAAGGTAAACCCAAACATTGAATGTATAACCGTGAAAATATCGTGATATTGGAAAAAATATGATTATAATATTCAGCACTGTTGTGTTTGATTCATGTTAGAAGACTGAAATATTTTCTGTGTTAATAATAGCAAGCTGATGATTACAACGTCCATGGAGCAATGTCACGCATCAAGAGAAAATAGTTTTGACATTTTTAGATTTAACAAGCGGTATGTTAATGGGTGTACTCAAATCTAAATATAGTTTATGTCAGTTCTAACAAAACATAGTTTATTTAACGACGCATCATGTAGTTGTTGTTCGATTGGTATTTTTAACCATCGACGAATAAGAGTATCTGTAGCATCGTAGTTCCTAAATGTATTAATTACGATACGATTTTTTTTTATTTAAAAGGTAACATGACGTGACTGAGATAGTTCTTAGCTACAATTTATTAGAATATTTTAATGCCGGGTTAAATTAATTTTTATAATTATTGCGTTAGTAGTGTATGTATGTGTTTCGTTAATGTAATATACATCTACATTTTCCAAAATAATCGATCCTTAGAAAATTAATCACCTTTATAAAATATTATGTCAATAAAATTAAAAGCCTGTAGTTATCATGTCAATACGAGTATATATTTAAATATTTTAATTAAAATATAATATTAAGTTCACTCTGACAACTCTACAGAATACTCAAACATATAGTAATTATACGTAATTGACCCATCACTCGTCATAACAATGGATGTTATTTTAGGACTGTTACAAATACCAACGTGTTAATTTAAACTGAATGATACAATGCTCTAATTAATAATAGTCCAGCGACAGCAATACTATCTATATTAAATCTATATTCATATAGAAAGCTGAAGAGCCTGTTTTTGTGATTCGATGTGCTAATGTCAGGAACTACTAGTCGGATTCCAAAAAAAACAAAAAAATTTGACTAGTCATTTCTTGCGGAAGATTATAAGTTGTTAAGTAGCTACCATTTTACCTAAACAGACGAGCAAAAATAAAACGGTCATAAGGAATGTTTAGCAAAAAGAAGTAATAGTGAGGGCGGAAGATGCTACGTGATTCAGCGGGCCAGAAGACAAGACTATCCGCAATTTATTTTAAAATTATATGGCGAGTGGTGGCACGGTTCACTAGTGCACGGGGCACTACTGCATGGAGCACAAGTACTTAATTTTATAACCTGTGACCGAATTAAAGGCTTAATGAAATCACTATTTTTCATGAAATAATATTATTGACGCCATAGACTTCAAATTTAAACGTTATATAATTTATGTTCATAATTGATAGACATTTACCTATCCGCCTACACGCAAGTTTTGTATAAATCTACTATTAATTAGTTTGTGGACAGGCCAATTGTGTAACGTGCATGCTGTGATGATAAATGACAATCGAATCATGACGGCGTAAATTGCTGTTTCAGTAATTTACTGTAACTTGCATGACATGACAACTGACAACGAACAAATATACATACACAACAATCAACTATAATTATGAGGACTATCGCAAAAACTAATAAACGATCTTACAGGTGCCATAGTAACAAGTTTTTTTTAATGAAAATGTATACATTGAGTTGTTCTATGACTTTATGAACAGACTCTATCTGTCAGGTATAATTTGTTAAAAATAATACATACAAATTTTATAACACACATCAATCTATTCGAAAGCTTATATAATGTATTTAAAATTAAACTAAAAGGGCGATGTTCAAATTTATCATACATTAATAAAATTATCCGATATACGATATTAATTTCCTTAAATTGGAATAGGTACTGACATTCCTTATTAATTTTTTATTTCAAAGTACATACTTAAACAGAGACTTCTGAGAAAAATTGACATAATAAATTTTATCGTATCTTTCATATTCATTAAAAGCTTAATAAATTATTTATAGCTACCTAATATACTCATTTTATTTCAAATTAAGATTTATGTGATACGAATCGAAACGGGGTGCACACTCATTTTAGCTCAAAGTGAAATTTATGTCAAACAGAGTGCGTCGGAGTGCATTTTACAATTCGGATATAGACATATGAGTGCCTATCATTTTGGTAGGGGCCTGCTACTTGCGCATGCTGCGGAATACTAGCAGCTATGCTATGTTCACTGTGATACAGGATGCTGTTGGCTATGTGCACATTGTACAGAATGCTGACGGGCGTAGACATTATCACCCTCATACAAGTATGTACGAGAATTAGATCTACGAAAATCGGTCAAAATTATATGCGATACGAAGTATTATCATACGGGCTAACTATCTTAAAGTTGATAACAATGGTGCGCCTAATACATATTTTCAGGCGGATGCAATGGACTGCGACATATCCGTGCACACCCACTCCAAAGCATATCCTTTGTACATTATACAAAGGTAAAGAGCATCAGATGTGAATAAATATAAAATGAGTAGATATAATTAATATAATTACAACCATCTATAAACTTAGTACTGGATAATTGGTTACGTTTGTACATACTTACATTTAGATAATTTGACTTCAATTTTATACAAGTGTATTGTGATGTAAACATATATTATAAGACGAGATAATAATAACAATATCCCGGTAAACCATTAAATAAACGTGATTAATTGACGCTTGCTAAGTAAATACAATAAAACATTGCAGACAAACTTGTTTTACAGTACCTAGCTAGTTCTTAAGCGAGCAGACCAGTGGTTAGTTTTTAGCCTCACTATCCTCAACGTAGCCGTCTAATGTTTAAGTATGTATGTGTAAGTTTGAATGAATAAAGTAAGAAAGTGACAATTATTCTTATAATATAGTATACAATATTCAGAACAAAAGGAAAGAAAGAGAAACATCTCAAGTTTATCTCTAGTCAAACTATGTATTGTCCATATTTATAAAAGCATAATTATGTGTGACTGATAACTATAAAATAAACAATAATTATCTAAAAGTGTATCCGATGTAAACACGTGTCCGAAGGGCCTGTAAGTTGAAGGAGTATGAGGACACAGCCAGTGAATACAGAATGGGTGTGAAGTGATAAAGCGCTTTCTATATAAATATACACAATTTAAATTATATTAATGTGTGTACTTACATAATCTACCGAAGCTAAGGGACAAGCGCTTCCGAAGCTTTTGCATTTTGCTCATAGCGCCGCCCCTTTTTTCTCTCATTGTCACGCCTGAAACAAAAAAAATAAAAATTAAAGTTTAGACAACGAGAACATAGATATTGTATTTTTTTATTCTAATCCGGCGTTCTAATATCTCTGACACAATCTTAATAGAATATGATAAAAAACGTAAGATTCTATGTATTTAATAATAATTTAATTATTTTATAACCTATAAATAATATTATTTACTCTTAGTTACATTAGAAAATACATAGTATAAACGATTACAGCTTAAATATAAACGAGTAAGCCATTACCGCCTATAAGTACCCACTAAATACAAAGTAACAAGTTAACACGCAAACACTAAACTGGTATGTAAAAATATCTTAGTTCTTTTCATTGTTATTATTTAATTCCAGGTATACCTTAGATAACTACTATATATTTTTCGCTACTTCATTTGCATGGAATTAGCCACCGACTCCAATATACCGTCTTATCTTACCAAAATCCATTCAAGAAAGGACAGATTCTAATAGAAATTTTTATTAATTATTTAACCTCTTCAAGCTACATATACCATTCCAACTGGCCAGTATGTTATAACTGGACTAAAATCCTACTTAAATGTGAAGTGATCCATCCCCATGCATTAATGGACTTTCAGGAGTTATTTTTTAGTAGTTCCATAACTAAATTCAAATTAGCCGTAATAACAGTTATATTTTCATTAACGCTGTACTGTGTTATAATTAATAACGCGTTACGTTACAGACGGAGGCTCTACGGGAAGTAACAAGTGTTACACTGCGCTTAATAATTAATTATACGAGTTATAAGTTGCAGTCACGCTAGCACCTCTCCTTAACGAAACCTAAATAAGCAATAGCATCAAGTTAAGGGCAAGAAAGGCAAGTTAATCCGTTTAAATAAATTGTCTACTAAACTTATAATACCTAAAATATGTACATATATGTTTAGATTTATGCTATTCAATACCGAATGATGAACAAACCTGAATAAAATTAGTATTATACATAGAGGTATCAGTCTCTATCTTAGATTATCTCTATATTAGAAAATAAATATTAACAAAAATTGATCATACATATTTTTTGCTAATATAATAGTTTATGAATAAGACCCAACGAAAACATTAAGTTAGATTTCTTCTTTATTTAATATTTAACAGAATACATGCGTAATACTATTGTGAAGATTGTATTTCATGCCAAAAGTTCACGCAACACACTTAATTCACCAAATTACTTTTCTAGTCAATTATATACGTATTATACAAAACCATGTATCTACAGATTATATATTTCATTTTGATGTAACGAATAAAGGCATTCTGTATTAAATAAGTATCATTTAACAAGATTAACTCTAGTGTTCTTGTTAACGTCAATATACCCCTTAACAACCGATCGCGTGCTCGCAAATATTCCGCTCTTCCAATTAACTTAAGTAGTCGTTATTCAGAAAAATGTAACATTATGGTGTGACATGAGTAATAATACCTATTTCTAAAATGAGCAATGAATGGTTATCCTTAGGGCAGGTTAATCGCATAAAAAATATGTCGGCCTTTCTTTTTATATTTTTATTTAACAGGAATACCAAACAATCTGATAATCCATCTGATGGAAAACAAAAAGTCGTCAATATAAACGAGCATAACCACGAACGATATACGTTGCACGTGGTACCTCATGTTGCCATTCCTGAGAACTGATTATCTGATCCTGATGTCAGAGGACTAAGTATCTGCTATTGAAGTAATCCTTCGTACTCCTTATAATTTCACTGCCATGTCTCACCGACCGAAATTCAGATTGATAAACATGTAGCTCGGCGAAGTAGGAATAGAGGTATCTATGCAAATTACTTTTATAAAAACTACACATTGGTTTACATATAATATGTCTAACTTGTCTCTAAATTAGAATTTGACGAAAACATCTTGAGACATAGTCTAAAATCATTTTACAAAACGATGAACATTATAAAATCTGTACGTAGGTAAACGTTTAAGGTTAGTACAGAGAGAATTGTGAATTTACAGTGTGTTTATGGTACTTATCAAACATGCCAGATGAGTTTACAAAGTAACATATGGTAGGAACAAAGACCAAGCTCGAAAATGTGCTCAATTTTGTATGCAAAATGCATAGCTCTAGCGACGCATGTGACTGGAGAACGTAATATCACAGATGAAACAGTAGTTTTACTAGTAGGAAATACGTTATATTTTATCTATGTTCACGATAGTCATTTTCAACATAATAGAGCAAATATTTATTTATAACTTCAAAGATCAAGGGCTCTTACAAAATTGTCTTTAATAGACGTGGGAAATAAATTGCGTAGGTGTCTTTGGCAGAGTATGTTACATTGCCAATGAATATCATTGCATAGATTTCAAAGACAGAGGAAAAAATATTACATATTCTTTTTTGATCTCTAAAACACAATAATAATTATTAATTATAAATAATTAAAACTATAGGATATCAGCGTCGTGGCCTAATGTCTGATTTCCAACTGTTTTATTTATAGATGACCATAACAATTCTTAAAAATATTTACTTTAATGTGGTGATATCAGCTGACACAGTAACATAATAAACGTTACACACCTACACAATTTAACCCACGCTTATGCTAAAGACAAATATTTCGTAAGAAAACAACATGACCCTGGAAATGATATATGACCACTTGACCAATTGATTACTTTAATAACATATTCAGGTTTAGTCGTAAAGAGTATACCAAGCCGAAACCTAACGATAGTAGGTAATCATAAAACTAACCTAAAACTACCTGAGCATAGTATTACTAACGGACTGATCTTTTAGCCTAAGAGCTCGTGAACCCTTGAGATATCTGTGACTTTGTAAGATTAAATAATTTTAGTGATGAATTATAGCATGCTAAAATTGTACTCTTGATTTATTCGCCTAGAAGGTACTTGTTTTCAGGGAACGTTATGTCAATACGTATTCCTACATTACAATTAAATTATCTATACCATTGAAAAATTCAAACTTTTTATTTTATATATACTTTAAAAGAAAACAAAACCTATGACGTGCAGGGCCTAATGCCTGCCAGGTGATGGTAATCCCAGTTAAGCATGTTATGACTCATCACTCAAACTATTACTAGCTTTATAGAAAAACCGTTATAACAACAGTTTCCGAGCTCTTAGCCTATATTTACGCACAGCCTTTAAAAGCTTGAAATAGCCATTATTTTTATGATGTATACCAAACAAGAAATAATGTTTTCTAGATTTCTAAAAATTTAATAAAATGTAATTGATTTTTCATTAGGAATTTAGAAACACAATGGGAATGAAAGACAAAAAGATGCGTACTAGCTAGGTAGTTTCAGCAGCAACATCTGATATAAAAAGTAGTTTTACAAATCCAACAAGTTTCTATGGTTCATTTTTATAAGATTTGACAACGCCCATGATCTTCTGTAGGATTTGTTTTCTTATATTGATGGTATCCGACTGTACTGAAATGAACTGTTGACTGGTCTTAATCTGTTATTTTACTACGCAACCATTAGGACTAAACTTCATCCATTGCAAGAACCAGACAGTTTCGCTTTTGTGTTTTTAACATATTATTAACTGTGTATTTTTATTCATACATTTAACACATCCCTATCAATTACGATGCATTTTTTATTTAGTCCACAGTTCGCCTTATCAACGCGAATGTTGTTAGAGATAACACTTTCCGCATAATTAATTCGCTCCGCAAAGAACTTAACAAAAAAATATTTTATTTGCGAATTACGTAAATAATTATATACGTTCTACAATTTTAAATCACATTCATTTCTCTATTTTTAGTCTATTTTTCATTGATAATGTAATAATAAACATAATATTTATGTTATTTTCAGTATGATAATAATACATAATAGGGTACGTAATTACCAATACTGTTATGAGACGAAATGACAATACAATATGATACCACTCCTTATCATGCCCATCCTTCTCGGTGTGGCAAGAGGCAACCAGAAAAAATAAAAACCTGTGCTAAGACTTGCTAGGCTAAATGTAGATAAATTATTTCTAGACTGTGTTTCCTAGTTTTAACATAGACAGTCAGTTTCTTATTATTATAAACTAGGATATTGATTGAACAGTATATTCATAAGTAGCCTACCTCTCTCCATATGAAATACTGCATATATGCCCAATTCCATACCATTTGTTTGTGCAGAGCCGTTAAAGAAGAAGTGACAAACTCGCTTTCACGTTTTTAATATTAGTACAATTTATGCTATAATACTGTCGTTATTACACCTCATGTGTTACTTTGAAACCCGTGATTGTGAAGTGTTGAAAGTTTAATGTTTACCACCTAATGTATAATAGATGTACTATGCTGCATTTTCTAAAGAAATATATTACCAGTTTATGGCTACTCTCTAAATAACTACGGAGAACTTTATTCATTCGGCAAATTGAAAATTTTATGACGCCGTACTGTTTTCCAATTTATCGAGTGATACTGTCACTAGTGGTGGAAATGGTTGGACTCGAACAATTAATAAAAGAAACATGAGAACACAAGCAAGCAGCAAACGGTAAATTTGCTACGTGCATATTACTCCACATTGAGTTATGAGTTATGATCCCTTTTACAAGTACCTATGTTTAGTCACATACAACTGTTTGCCTACACTAATTGAATTGTTAATTTTTTAAAGTATTAATTTATTAACAATACAATTGACGCGTTGAATTATTACGGTCTTCTGGAGTCAAGAGTCACGACCTAAATTAATGAAATTTAACGTATACGAATTAAAAGAAATAAAGATGGTAAATTCTAAATTACTAATGACCTGGATAAAATAAATATAAGTAAGGATTACGTAGACACCCTGCAAACTAAGCCAATTAGTCACCAATCTTTACGAATATAGAACGTAGATGCCAAGAAAATTATACAAGACCGCCAAAGCTCAATGCGTGAATGGTATACATTTTCACAAGAAATCATCAAGAGAGAGAATAACTTTTAATT